CAATGCCAGAGGCTCAGAGGCACAAAGAGAATGGGAGGTGTGTCGCCCAACGCAGCTGGAAGTCTGAAATAAAATACTTCTGCAGAAATCCTGGGTTTGCAAACATTTGTTTGAGGGGAGGGGGACTACAAGAATCCAGAATCCCCATACCTGGCATGGTTTCTGCCTGGGAATTGTAGTCTAAAAAAATGTCTGCTTGACCAAAGGCGTTGTCTGAATCCAAGCCGGAACGAATATTTCCTTAGAAAAGATGTTCTGCTGGAATATAGCACTCCGAATCCCCAGTGGGTGGGGGAAACTGAGAGTTGTTGTCCATACAAGGAGCACGGGCAAGACCTGCTGGATTCACATCTAAAAGTCACCGCAGAGCTTCACCGGTGAGACCTGGTAAATGTTTGAATGTCCTGCACCACCTATGGGCTTCCGCAATGCCCGAGTGGCTTCGGATCGGGTGGAAGGAAGCTCATTGTAGTCACAATGGGGGGGGGGAGGCTCCCACCTTTGCTAGCCATGATTAAAACACAGGATAGTATTTCTCCGCCGCCTATTAACTTTGAAGGGCTTCTTTCAAACACTGATCTCCTTCCTGTTTATATTCACTGCCTCTCCTGTCACCCACCCCACCTTGCACCCCATTAGGAGAGGCTGCTTAGGGCCCTGGGATTAAAGCAGGACTCCTTAAGCGAATACTCTGGCTGGCTGGATAGCTCAGTGGTTTAGGGCTCTGGCTGCAGAGCCAGAGGCTGGCAGGTTAAGTTGTGCCCCAGTAAAGCCAGCCTGGGTGGCCTTGGGCAAGCTGCACAGTCCCAGGGCACCCCTGGAAGAAGGGAATGGGAAACCCGCCCCGGAGTACTTTCTACCTGGAAAAACATCACTTTCAATCAGAATTCACTTGATGGCACATTATTATTATGGGAATAATTTTCTTTTTCAGCAGACCTGACCACAGCAGCATTTTTTTCTAGGAGCAGGTCACAGGCTCCTCTTGAATGCTTTTCGTTCTCCATCCACCGAAAACTGACCTGCAAAACATGAAAACGAGAGACGCTGGTGGTTCTTTCTCCTGGGAAAGCCATGTATTTGCAAAACGCAGTCTGTCAGGGTGTGGGGGAAATCAAATCCTCAGCCAAGCTGGCTGGAGAGGGGCTTTGGGGCCGAGCCTCAAGGGGTGATCAGGGAGCTTCTGTTTCATACGGCTTTATCCACAGGCTTTTGGGTTCCCCTTGGGTGCCCTCGGTGGCGGCAGCCAACGTCAGCTCAGAGAGAAGATTGCGTGATCACACCCTGGTCAGTGCCAAAAAAGACGCCATGGCAGTACCAGGTCAGACTATACTTCGCTCATCATTGCCTTTTCTGGGAATGTTTTTTTTTTTTAGTTCAGTTAATCCAGTTCAACAGCTGGAATCCCACTGGGTTCAAATGAGGTTGGGGCAACGTGTTGGGGCCAGCTGACGAGACGCTGGGTTGTGCGCCTGGCCTCGTGCTCAATCGCACCACCGGGCAGTGCACCTTGTTAGCTGCGAGAACTTATTGCATTTTCCCTGTGTATAAGACACCCCCTGCTTTTCTAACCCAAAATTAAGACATCTAAGTGGGGCTTAGCAAGTGAAGGGGGAAAGGGATCAAAGCCCTGCAGGATCACTTTGATCCCTGCTTTCCCCTCCATTTGTTTTTTCTCTCCTAAGCTTACTTCTGAGGTCCTCACTTTTTAGTCTAAAGATTTTAGACAAAACTAGAAATACAGTTTGTAGACAAAAGTATAGTCTTATAAATGGAAAACTACAGTTTGCGTTTGTCCTTCAGCTGCATTCTAGCCTCCTGGAAATGGGTTTTCCAGAAACTGAGGATGGAGGCGCTTGGCTCCAAAATGCTGATGATGCCCTGAGAAAGGGGGGAAATCTCAACCCCATTAACCTGGAACATCACAGGAATGAACATTGAGCAGGGGGAGAAGGCGAAAGACATTCTCTCTTCTATTGTTGTAGTACGAAATGATAACATTTCAAATCTATCTGCATCTTCAGAAAATTAGCATCCCAGTCAGGATTAGCCAAGCACTTTCCAGAAGCATTCAACAGTTTTACCATATATACCTACTCCTCTTCTCCACCCCCGCTGAGCAAAATTGACCACCCACACCTAACTGGAAAAAGGGAGGCGAAAGCCCAGCAGTAAAAAATAGAATATTTTTGTTTCTACAGACTTTAGCCGCCCGCGAGGGATGAGAGAGGAGCGTGCCCGAATTGTGGTTTAAAATATCTTGCCTGTATGCTTGTATAGTTAAAGAGTATTGGAGCTGGATTTTGGAGATCTGGGTTCGAGTTCTTACTGAAAGATGAAATTCACAGGGCATTCCTGGGCTGTTCAGAGTCTCTTTCAGAGACCTGTTGTCTTGAACTTTTTGGAGGAAAAATGCAAGATTGATTGACTTATTGATGGGGGGGCTTTGTTTATGGATCACGACGCCTGCCTGGTGTCTTGCATCTTTCCTTCCATGTCTATTTGTTACTTCACACCCTCACCAAAAATTGCTTATTATTATGTTTCTATTGCAACTCCAAGGTCTTCATGGTGCCAAACGCAGCCCTGCCTCCTGCTGCGTCACAACAACCCTGCCAGGTAGGTCCAGGTGAGAGTAAGCAGGCCTGGCCCGAGGGCACCCAGAGGGGTCCACAGCTCAGGAGGTTTCCTCAAGTCCTAGGCCACCCCTGTAACCACTGTACCACACTGTCTCTCCAAACTCGGTCGCCTCCTTAAAGCATTGCACTACAGTTCCTATCAGCCCCTTGCAAAGTACTGGGGGTTGTAGTCCAAAATCTTTCTCCCCTCTCCAACTCAATTTTTAACTATTTTCTTTTGCTCTCTCGTCCCTTTTCCCAAATTCCCCCACACGACAAAAGGGTCCCCCCAAAACCCCCTAATTTCCAGCCCCCTTCTCGCCCCCCAAAAGGACTCACCCGCTCGCTCCCCACATGCTCTTCGCCGCCATCTTGGTCCCTGGAAAAACAGCTGCCGAAGCGTCTTGCCCCCTCTTCCCATCCAGCCAATCGCAGCTCTCCGTTGGTAGACCACGTGAGACTGAGAGCAGCTGCCCAATCACGATCCGCTTGTGATTCGTATAGAAGATCAGGAAGAAAAGCGCTTGAGTGCCAGCGACGCCTCCGGTTCCCATTTGAACGCCGCAAGAGTGGAAACGGGGCACGGAGGGAGGAAGAGACGAAGAGGCTAGCTTAGGGGATGATGGGTGTTGTCGTCATACATGTGGAAGGCACAAGGCTGACACATCTTAACGCATTTCTTTTATTCCTTGCACCCTTGGGGGGGGTCACATCCACACACACCCCATCTATCTATGTACTTCTGCTTCTGTTCTTTTTATGATGCAAGCACATTAAAAAATAAATTTAAAAATTCCAAAGGGGCAGCCCTGATATTCCGCTCCAGGAACACAATCAATAAATCATAGACTGGAGTATTCATTTTCCTTCTCAAGCTTTCCTCCATGACCCGGAGGACTCTGAGACTCGCCTGGAAACATGGCAGAAAAGAAATCTTTATATTTTATTTGTTACCCTGCCGTCGGCGTGGTCTTATTTTATTTTTTGAAAAAAACATCTAATATGTTAAAACATGAGCTAGGAAGAGGTACTTCCATACAAGCCATACAAAGAATCTCTAGACACTTTTTAATTCGTACTACATCATTCTACAACACATACATATACTGTAATTATCAGTGAATCTACATAGAAAAATCTGAGTTACTGACACTAAACACATTGAAAAGGCAGATGAGTTTAGATATACAGTACCAGAAACGTGTATTAAAAACAAGCAAAAATCTTTTGTGCTCGACTAAACCCTAATCAACAATTACTTTAAAATAATAAGAAAATCACTCACACCCACAAAACACTTTTGGGAAATTAGGTAGGTATTTCTCCAAACAAAAAAACAGGTGAGCACATCAGCTTCAATGATGGCACTTAGATTTTCTATTTTTTTTCTTTTAATCTTTTTAGACTGCAGATAAAAGAAACCGTGGCTACAAGGGTCCTACTTTATTTCCTCCCCCACATTCCTCTAGTCCTTTTTGCTTTAGATTTCTGTCCTTTCCAGGATCAGTGGGGACGGTAAATCTGCTCTGGATTTTCAACCTAAACCAAGCCTAAACATATAAGGGGATCAGATCCAGCGCGTTTGGGCAGCACCCGTAGAGTTCGGACTAAAATCTGGAGCGGAGCACCCCATGCTGAGATCAGCTCCGCCCGCTGGCTTTCCCCACTTCTAGCAGCATTAGGTCTGAGACAGCGGCTTGATCAGGCCGTAGTCCATGCACTTCACAAGGCATTCCCGCGCCACGTTGATGATGTGCTGTCTCTTCGGGTTGTCCGCCTGTTTGCCAAGGACGGTCAGGATCTCCAGCATCTCGCTCTCCACCAGCTTTTTTGCCAGCTCCTGGTCTGCATTGATTAAGTTGCAAACGATCACGACCCCACGGTGCTGTAGGTCCAGGTTGTCATGGAGGCAAAGTCGCTGCAGAATCTCCAGCCACTGAGTCGTCTGCAAAAATCAGATGCCATAAGATAGGTCTGGATCATTTAAAAACACCAAACATCTGCTACATGTGAACGTTGAGGAAGCTCTCATTAACAGAGACGTATGAGAATGAACAGTAAACATTTAAGACACAGATTTTATGATAGGGATTTACGTCTATGTGAGTTACATGTAAAGGTTTTTTTTAAAAAAAGCAGTGTAAAAAAACGCAACACCCCCTTAAAAGGTCTTTCGGCTTTAGCCTGTCAGTGGCCAAAGGTCTGTCTGTACAAAAGCCATCTTTGCCTTTCACTGGAGAGTCTGAAGCTTCCAAGGGCAGCCCCATGTGAAGTGCTTTGTAGTAACCAAGCAGGAAGAAACCAAGGTATGTGTCTCTGATCTCTCTGGGGTCTGCAAAACTCGCCCTTCTCTTTGATCTAGAACGACTCCATAAAAAGGGCTTGCAGTTATGAAAAATATTTTTGAGATTCCTCTGACAAAAGTTGTTCAGAAACCAGAGGTTTCAGGAACCTCGGTCTTCGGCTCCCGCAGGCACACGGCTGTGGACGGAAGGGTGGAAGGAGCTTACCACTTGGGTGAGTTTGTGGCAGAGCTTCTTGTGCGCGGCGGTCAGCATCGCCAGAGCTCCTGCTGCGGCGCTTTGGACCTTTTCATCATCCTCTCCGCACAGCAGGATGACCAGTTTGAGTCGGTCGTTCCCTTCAGCTAGGAATCTCTCTTGAACCTACACCGGGGAGACGGGGGACAAGGAGGAGTTAAACAGAAGTGTCAAAAAGACGGACAAGGATGAATCCTCATTTTTCCCCACTGGGACCCTGAGAATTGGAGCCTAGTCCCCCCCCCCTCTGGAAAGCAACAGATTCCACTACGTATGGTGTAGTGGAACCAGTCCTCAGGGGGTCAAAGATCTGGGATTTTCTGTGCAGGAGAGACTATGACATCCACACCCAACCTTAATCTTCCAGGCTTCCCTGTCCCCCCCCCAGTTTAGCCTCACGATGGCAGAGAGAGAGACGGATTTTCCGAAGAACAGCCTACACTTGCAAGCTGCCTCTATCCCCTTATAAAATATTTTGAGGATGGCTTGTTCTTGAATCAGCAAACAGGAGCCATTCACTGTACAAAAGACCTGCCCCTCTATTACAGTTATGGGCCAATCCAGATGCCTTTTGAAGGTGGGCTATAGCTACGGGGACACGCCAGATGAGAGCCTGCACTGCCAGGTTCACCACCAACCCCACGGGTTCCCACAACAGTAGAAGGAGCCGCTTGCCTCTTTGTTGACGACGAGGTTGCACATACACTCCGTGGCTGCCTGTCGGAGCTGATCGTGGTTTTCAAACATGTAGTTCTCAATGTCCGGCAGGGCCTTCTCTTTGATGATTTTTGTTCTGAGAAGAAGCGGGACGATTACAGGACACAGGGCAACACACGCTAGTATAGTGTTGTTCATCTTACTGGGTTTCCTCCGTAAAGAGAAG